AGTGCCGCCTATCCGTGACACCTCATTAGTGCTGTCTATCAGTGCCGCCTATCCGTGACACCTCATTAGTACTGCCTATCAGTGCCCTTTAGTGCTGCTTATCAGTGCCCATCAGTGCCGCCTATCAGTGCCCATCAGTGCTTCCTCATCAACGCACATCAGTGAAGGAGAAAAAATTCCTGTTTGAAAAATTTATAATAGAAACAAAGAAACTTTTTTTTTTTAATTTTTTGCACTTTTTTATTTATAGCGCAAAAAGTAAAGCGCCCAGCGGGGAGTAAATACCACCAAAATAAAGCTCTATGTGTGAGGAAAAAATGGTCAAAATTTCATATGGCTACAATGTTGCATGACTGCGCAATTGTCAATCAAAGTGCGGCAGCGCTGAAAGCTGAAAATTGGCCTGGTAAGGAAGGGGGTATAAGTGCCCGGTAGGCAAGTGGTTAATGAACTTATCAACAGGTGCACTAGAGGAGCAACAATGAGACGACCCCCAAAACAGGAATGGTTTTACAGGTGGAGGCCACTGACATTTTTGCCCTACCCATCTTTTCTGGAAAAACCCCAGGACACCATTCATTATCTCATTAGGCGCATGCCCCGATGTTATCATGCCCCGACGTTATCAGACATGCATACCATTTTGACTTGCTGCAATGAAATTTCAGCACAATGGACTAGCCTGCTGCATCATTTTTTTATTTTTGATTTTTGGGGTGTCTTTAAATTCAGTCTTCTGTAGGTTGATAATTTTCATTTCCATCAAATGATGGGGCATTCTTACGTTCCTAACACATTACCTAGTCCATTTCAGTATAGATATCCAGCATGATAATTTTCCCCATTGAGATCTGATGTGTTTTCAAAGTGTTCCTTTAATTTTTTTGAGCAGTGTATATATGGTCTGGTCTCCGTTTCTGTGAATAGAAACATATATTTGGTTATCTCAGCTGCAGACTCCTGGCAACTTGTTAGATTTGGGTTTCATGAGCATAATGGTAGTTTTGGAAGCCGTCAGGATGTGTAGATAGAGAATACAAAGGGTCCAAGGACAGAACCTTGGATGACCCCTACAGAAGAGAAAAGGAGGAGATGGAATTGCAGTTGACACTGAAGGAACACTTTGATAGTTAGAAGAGGAACCAGGAGCAGAAACTTGGAGGCCAAGGGAACTGAGTTTTTTTCTGAGGAGCAGGTGGTCCACCTTATCAAAGACAGCAGAAATCTCTAATATTATGAGTATGGAGTAATGGCCATTGGTCTTGAAAGATAGTAAGTCATTATTAAAACTCACACCTTTCCTGCCCTTGTCACTTCTGTCTACAACAGCTTACTCTCACACTCATTGAACACACTTGCTCCCCTCACTACTCACAGAATCAGACCCCAACCACTTAAGCCATGCAAACTGAGGACACCAGAAATCTCAAAAGATCAAAAGACATAGTTGTGCACTTGTGTGACTGTGGCATAAAGCTAAAGCCCTGCAATGCTTCACCCTATACAAATCTGCTTCCTTAAAACACAATTCCTTCCTGCAAGCTAAAACAAACCTATTTCATCATTCTCAAAATTACCCTTTCATCCAGTCCTCAGAGGCTCTTCCCTACTTTCAACTCCCTACCACCTCTACTCACTAACTCACTCACTGACCAGTAGATTTCCAAGATTTCCAATTATTTAAAAAAGAGGATTGAAGAAATTTGTTATGAGATCTCCACTGTCCAAAGATTTTCCTCTGACATGTACCACCACATTTTATACATTTTTTTACCCTGTTACTACAGAAGAGGCCCACCTAGCCACCTGTCCCCTGGAGCCCATTCCCTCACAACTAATACAGTCATTAAGGGGTAAAGTTTAATACTAAGACCTACTTTTTTGCATATTAATTGGAATAAAGCCACAATTAGGACAAAAATGTAGAAACATCTGACTGTAACCCCAACTGTAAAAACCTCAAAAAGAGCAAGAGGGGTGAGGATGATGGTGTGGACATGAGTGTCACATTTTGAAGAAATGCCCTGAAAACCTGGAGTTTCTCCTGGAAATCAGTGATGGCTGGAAAATATGCGACAGAGTTTTTGATTCTACAGTGCTCTAAAGAGCACTGTATTCCAGAATTTGACCACCAGGAAAGGGGGGCTAAGAGAAGGAATACCCATAAAATCCACTGCACTATTACAATGCCTAACTATCTTTCAACTACAAACAACAAATGCAGAGAACTAAATTGGGTTGAATATATGAAAACATCAACTGTTCTGTTCTTGGATCTAAGTTCATGTTTACATGGAAATATTTTTTACAGACTGTTACACACAGAACTGAGTTCCATGTGTGATTCATTATTCTCATTATCCAGCATTGTTTAGTTTGGAAAATGCATACTGTCAAACATTTGGCCTCATTGCTAAAATATTTTGGAGAGAATATTTCTCCAGTTCCAATCCCTCATCTGTTATGGCACAAATTTGGTGTGCTAGCATTCTCCAGCTGATTGCAGAACATTATTTAAATACATTAGAGTATTCCTGATGATATTTTTGATTTCTTATTTATTTATTTTATAATAAACCTTTCAGATTAATCTGTGATCCTTACTATAACACTATTGAAGCAATTTCTGAATGTTAAAGGAGAGGGACACCTACCTTAAAGAAGTACTAAAGTCACATTTGTTACATTAGGTATTAATAGAGAGCATTAATCACTGACTCAAAATGCTGTATTAGCATTGTTGAAGTATTTTGTCTTACTGTGAAATGGTGTGCATATCCTCAGTCCATCACTGTAGTTGCTTTTATCAGTATTTCAGCTCTTTCTAAAAGCCAGCAGAGGGGTGCTACATGAGCTTCCTGCTGATCGCAAAAGTGAAAGAACACACCGACGGGTACCCCTTAGATGTGCATGTTTTAGAGAATGGTGTAGACTTTAGCTATGTTGTCTACCCATCGGGTACCAGATAACATTCTATCAGACCTTCATCTGGAATAATAACTAATCTGCATGTTTACGTGAGTCTGGTCAATCGCAGGTCTGGATGCCCTGGTAGAGTGGTGGACTGGTCCATAAATATAGGAGCGTCAGGCTGATAGAGGAGTCAAGTGGAAGATGGAGAGCTGAGGAGACTGTCAGAGCTTAGGAGGGGTCCCCTAGGTCTGGGGGGGGCAGTCTCCAAGCTGGAGTCGGACTGACTCAAGAGGATACATTCAGCAGTGCAGCATGAATGGAATAGACACCTGGAGCAATGGAAGCAAAGACCACAGAGTAAGTACATCAGCACGCCTTGGGATCCACAAGGGGAAAGACTGGCACATGCAGCAGGTTTCCAAAGGATAGCGCTAGGCTCAATCCTTTATCCTTGTCCAGGGAGATCTTCCGAGCAGCCAGGAGAGCTGGTAGTGTCTGCAGGCTGTGGAGCTGGTGGCAGTTCTACAGGGGGAGTGGAGACATCTCTGCACATAGTTACAAGAAGCTAAGCTGATTTTGAGGGGCTGCTAGTTTCTCGCCCATAAAGGGCTGTTGCTACTGATCTTTTGCACTCTGAGTGTGCTTGGCCAGCTACTTATTACTTTCTCCATGCATTTTACTATTTATCATAGTGCTCCAGTGGCATTTCATTTATGAATTTATGTACTCTGGGTCATGGTGGACATTTGCTATATATTGAATTGGCTCACATACTGATATTTGAAAGGCAGATTTGTCAATATTTGCATTTTAACTTCATAGGAATTGCTTTCCCAAAGATATATACTTGTGCTTGCAATCTCTCCACATTCCCATTTTAAATGTCGCCCTGACTCATTAGCCTTTCTGGACATTTAGGTCTCTTTAACATGAACGGTTATATTTCAGCTTTCAGCCAAACTTACTTTACCACAGCTAAATGCAGACAATGCATCCTTATGGCTCCATCCACACACTGAGCTTAGCAATGTTTTCATAAGATATGATTTTATGCGTTTAGGAAAACTAAAGTGGACAGCATCCAGGAGCGATGTACCAAGTGATCTCTGTGCCAGGAGTGTTGGAATTTAAAAATTAAAAAAACATGCATTTACAAGCAGCAGAACAACCGCTTGTATGAAAGAGGCTTTAGGCTCCATGTACACTGGAAAGCAAAAATGCGTGTAAAGGTTTAAGCGCATTTACACGTGTTTTTGCCATGTTTAGCATTTTTTGGCCAAAATGTTCCTCTCCTGAATGTGATTCTTCTGCATTCAGGAGAGGGATGTTTAAGGGTGGAATATTGCAAATTTTCTATATTATAGTCAAAAGTGGCTCATTGGTATTTTGGTTGTTCAGCATACTGCACTGTTATCATTAAATCCTTGAATTTCTAAAAAGTAAATACCTACGCAACGTTTTTTTTTTTTTTGTTAAGGGTGGAACATTGGCTTTTTGGTCTATTTTGGACATTCAAGATAATGTACTGTTGCCAATCAAGTCTTTAACCATTGATGTTCTAAACAAGAAAACATCTATGCACTTTGAAAAAAAAAATTGCTTCCTACTGTTACTTGCACTGCTTGATATGTATGTTTAGTTTGCTGCTGATTCACTTCATACTGGTTTACATTACTAGCTGCTTTGTTTGAGTGGGTGATAGGAGGGGTTTTTGCAGTACAAGACTTTTGGCCCTGTTCCTAGATCTCTGTGGTTATTTATCTTCCATCAAATAAAATGGAAAAAAAAAAACTATTTTCTAATTGGCAACGGCTGAATCTGAGCTCTGAGACATGTCCAAGCTTTTATCAGGAATCAAAGGAAATACAGATTTCTTCTACTCTGCCAATGGAAACATTCGAATGAATAGGCAAATGGAGCACACCTATTCCAAAACTACAGCCAAAGTAGGATGTCTGCTGGCTGTGATCACCAATAAGACATCTCAACTTTTCCCAGGTCTCCCCTTATTGGTTGCCGCCAGGGAGGGGAGGGGTGCTTGCTGTCATTTCTTAAACTAAGTGGGCTCAGCAGCACTCTCAGTTCTACTGCAAGTTATTGTGCTGTGTCTGGTATTAGAGATGCCTGTCGACCTTGCGGGGTGGGATGAATCCCTGGCACTTTATGAAGTGGATGAAAAGCCCGAATATCCGTTAGTGGTCACGTTTGGATCGGTTACTGTGAAAAAGCTGGGAGAAGTCCTTACACCTTCTCAGGTATGCAGCAATGCAAAGCTACATTATACTGTATAAACATGACATGAATATCAATATTATATATATTACAAAGAACAGTGATGCAGTAACCAATCAGATTTCATCATTAGTTTATCTGGTTGACTGCTGTGGTTTGCTTTGCTTATCTTTACTGCTCTGCATTACTCTGCCTTCTATGTTCTGTAGTGAATTGTAGAAGTTTTAAATGTTTTCATTTTTATTCTGATATGGGACACATGTTGTTTAATATGTGTGATTTTTTTGAGGACTGACAGTTGTTCATAGACTGAGAGTGATTTGTTGTGCAGCAAAGCATTGGATGATCAGTGTGAAAGCAGAAAAGAATTGTATGATCAATGTGAAAGCAGCAAAGATTGGGTGATCTGGGTGAAAGCAGCAAAGCATTGGGTGATCGGGGTGAAAGCAGCAAAGCATTGGGTGATCTGGGTGGAAGCAGCAAAGCATTGGGTGATCTGGGTGGAAGCAGCAAAGCATTGGGTGATCTGGGTGGAAGCAGCAAAGCATTGGGTGATCTGGGTGGAAGCAGCAAAGCATTGGGTGATCTGGGTGAAAGCAGCACAGCATTGGGTGATCTGGGTGAAAGCAGCAAAGCATTGGGTGATCTGGGTGAAAGCAGCAAAGCATTGGGTGATCAGGGGGAAAGCAGCAAAGCATTGGGTGATCTGGGTGAAAGCAGCACAGCATTGGGTGATCTGGGTGGAAGCAGCAAAGCATTGGGTGATCTGGGTGAAAGCAGCAAAGCATTGGGTGATCAGGGGGAAAGCAGCAAAGCATTGGGTGATCTGGGTGAAAGCAGCACAGCATTGGGTGATCTGGGTGGAAAGCAGCAAAGCATTGGGTGATCTGGGTGAAAGCAGCAAAGCATTGGGTGATCAGGGGGAAAGCAGCAAAGCATTGGGTGATCTGGGTGAAAGCAGCAAAGCATTGGGTGATCAGGGTGAAAGCAGCACAGCATTGGGTGATCTGGGTGAAAGCAGCAAAGCATTGGGTGATCTGGGTGAAAGCAGCAAAGCATTGGGTGATCAGGGTAAAAGCAGCAAAGCATTGGGTGATCTGGGTGGAAGCAGCAAAGCATTGGGTGATCCAGGTAAAAGCAGCAAAGCATTGGGTGATCTGGGTGGAAGCAGCAAAGCATTGGGTGATCAGGGCAAAAGCAGCAAAGCATTTGGGTATTCAGGGTGAAAGCAGCAAAAAATTTGGTAAACTGGGTAAAAGCAGCAAAGCATTAGGTGATCAAGGTAAAAGCAGCAGAGCATTGGGTGATCAGTTTGAGAGCAGCAGCAAATCATTGGGTGATCAGGGTAAAAGTAGCAAACCATTAGGTGATCATGGTGAAAGCAGCAAAACATTTAGTAACTGGGTAAAATCAGCAAAGCATTAGGTTATCAGGTTGAGAACAGCAGCAAAGCTTTGGGTGATCTGGGTGAAAGCAGCACAGCATTGGGTGATCTGGGTGGAAGCAGCAAAGCATTGGGTGATCTGGGTGAAAGCAGCAAAGCATTGGGTGATCAGGGGGAAAGCAGCAAAGCATTGGCTGATCTAGGTGAAAGCAGCAAAGCATTGGGTGATCAGGGTGAAAGCAGCACAGCATTGGGTGATCTGGGTGAAAGCAGCAAAGCATTGGGTGATCTGGGTGAAAGCAGCAAAGCATTGGGTGATCAGGGGGAAAGCAGCAAAGCATTGGCTGATCTGGGTGAAAGCAGCAAAGCATTGGGTGATCAGGGTGAAAGCAGCACAGCATTGGGTGATCTGGGTGAAAGCAGCAAAGCATTGGGTGATCTGGGTGAAAGCAGCAAAGCATTGGGTGATCAGGGTAAAAGCAGCAAAGCATTGGGTGATCTGGGTGGAAGCAGCAAAGCATTGGGTGATCCGGGTAAAAGCAGCAAAGCATTGGGTGATCTGGGTGGAAGCAGCAAAGCATTGGGTGATCAGGGCAAAAGCAGCAAAGCATTTGGTATTCAGGGTGAAAGCAGCAAAAAATTTGGTAAACTGGGTAAAAGCAGCAAAGCATTAGGTGATCAAGGTAAAAGCAGCAGAGCATTGGGTGATCAGTTTGAGAGCAGCAGCAAATCATTGGGTGATCAGGGTAAAAGTAGCAAACCATTAGGTGATCATGGTGAAAGCAGCAAAACATTTAGTAACTGGGTAAAATCAGCAAAGCATTAGGTTATCAGGTTGAGAACAGCAGCAAAGCTTTGGGTGATCGGGGTGAAAGCAGCAAAGCATCAGGTGATCGGGGTGAAAGCAGCAAAGCATTAGGGAATCGGGGTGAAAGCAGCAAAGCATTAGGTGATCGTGGTGAAAGCAGCAAAGCATTATGGGATCGGGGTGAAAGCAGCAAAGCATTAGGGGATCGGGGTGAAAGCAGCAAAGCATTAGGGGATCGGGGTGAAAGCAGCAAAGCATTAGGGGATCGGGGTGAAAGCAGCAAAGCATTAGGGGATCGGGGTGAAAGCAGCAAAGCGTTAGGGGATCGAGTTGAAAGCAGCAAACCATTTGGTGATCAGGGTAAGAGCAGCAAAGCGTTGGGTGATCAGGGTGAAAGTAGTTGGATGATCAGGGTGAAAACAGCAAAATATTGGTATCTGGGTGATCTGGGCCAAACCAGCAGCAAGCATTGGTGATCTGGGTGACAGCAAAGCAATGGGTGAGCAAGCATTGGGTGATCAGATCGGGGTGGGTGAAAGCAGCAAAGCAGCAATGGGTTGAATGATCTGGGCCAAACCAGCAAGCATTGGGTGATCAGGGTGAAAGCAGCAAGCATTTAGGTGATCGGGTGAATGTAGTTGGGTGATCAGGGTGAAAGCAGCAAAGCATTGAATGATCTGGGCCAAACCAGCAAACATTGGGTGATCAGGGTGACAACAGCAAGCATTGGGTGATCGGGTGACAGCAGCAAGCATGGGTGATCGGGTGACAGCAGCAAAAACATTGGGTGATTGGAGTGATTGGAGTGACAACAGAAAGCATTGAATGATCAGTGTGAAAGTAATAAAGCATTGGGTGAGCGAGGTGAATGCAGCATATCATTGATGTAAAAGCAGTGGGATTAGGTGAGCGCATTGTCTGACTGGACAAGTGGGAGATTATGTGACAACCTGCTTGCTTAATTGAAAAAAATGCAAGGCTTTCTATAAATAGCGTCTGTGCTGAGGAAGCGACTTCTTGTGTTCACTAAGTAGTGGGGCAGCCACTTGGCACTGGACCTAAAAGACAATGAAGATCGCTAAAGTAGTTGCAACTGCTTCAGTTGTGCTCTGCTTCCAGGGGGATTGGTTGACCTTATAACGTAAATGGAAAACTTATACAGCCTATTTGACTTTATTTTGCTTTTGTTTTAAATTTACACAGTTTTTGCAAAAATCCTTTAGTGACTTCTACTTAAAAAGGCTGCAATTTATTTCAATGTTTTTCTATTTTGGCTTTTTGACTGTATCTAACTGTGATCTAATTGCAGTGTGTTACCTCTGCATTATACACTCACCGGCCACTTTATTAGGTACACCTTGCTAGTACCGTGTTGAACCCCCTTTTGCTTTTAGAACTGCCTTAATTCTTTGTGGTATAGATTCAACAAGGTGATGGAAACATTCCTCAGAGATATTGGTCCATACTGACATGATAGCATCACACAGTTGCTGCAGATTTGTCGACTGCACATCCATGATACGAATCTCCTGTTCCACCACATCCCAAAGGTGCTCTATTGGACTGAGATCTGGTTACTGTGGAGGCCATTGGAGTACAGTGAACTCATTGTCATGTTCAAGAAACCAGTTTGAGATTATTTGAGCTTTATGACATAGAGCATTATTCCGAGATGGTATTCTGCATACCTTGGTTGTAACGAGTGGTTATTTGAGTTTCTGTTTCCTTTCTATCATCTTGAACCAGTCTGCCCATTCTCCTCTGACCTCAAAAAGGCATTTTCATCCACACAACTGCCGCTCACTGGATGTTTACTATTTTTCGGACCATTCTCTGTAAACCCTAGAGATGGTTGTGTGTGAAAATTCCAGTAGATCAGCAGTTTTTGAAATACTCAGACCAGCCCGTCTGGCACCAACAACCATGCCATGTTCAATATCACTTAAATAACCTTTCCTCCCCATTCTGATGCTCAGTTTGAACTTCAGCAAGTTGTCTTCACCAAGTCTAGATGCCTAAATGCATTGAGTTGCTGCCATGTGATTGGCTAATTAGCAATTTGTGTTGCCAAGCAATTGAACAGGTATAGCTAATAAAGTGGCCGGTGAGTGTATACGCAGTATCTTTTCTTATAGTTGGATATATATTTGACTTGAGCTAAACATTTAGGTTGACAGTGACTCGGGTAAACATTTTTGTTGACAGTGACATGGGTAACCATTTTTGTTGACAGTGACATGGGTAAACATTTTTGTTGACAGTGACACGGGTAAACATTTTTGTTGACAGTGACATGGGTAAACATTTTTGTTGACAGTGACATGGGTAAACATTTTTGTTGACAATGACACGGGTAAACATTTTTGTTGACAGTGACATGGGTAAACCTTTTTCACCTGTAATAACACTTGATTTTAAAACTTAATTTTCTTTGCCACCATCTAATATATTTGTAATGGAAATATCATTGGTGAAAATGTAATGCTAAAGGAGCAGTGCATTGACTGTTTGGGGGGAAGTTACATATAAATTAATCCTTTACTTTTAAAATGTCATCTTTATGAACTTGATTCTCACTAGAAACTGTGGGGGTTATTTACTAAAACGGGAACATTCAATATCTGGTGCAACTCTGCATAGAAATCAGCATCCAGATTTTATTTCTCAAGCTTAATTGAACAAGTTGAAGTTGATTGGCTACCATGCACAGCTGCACCAAATTCTGAGTGTTTCAGTTTTAATAAATCAAACCCTATGCGCCTGTGTCAAAATAGTGGTTAGAGTTCTTATAATATTATAAAGGTACTTCAGTGTCTTGTGCATCAGATTGACAAATTATCATAGTTTTGATGCTAAATGATTATGTGTGCACTTTACATATAGGATGTTTCACAACCATGTGCTTACTATATGCATCTATTGACCAGGTCTAAAATGCATCCTAATCATTTGTATGGCAGATGTATGGGTTCCTTGAGTTCATTGCACTCTCAACTGAACTGTCAAGCCATCAAATGGCTAATCACATGTGCAGTACAATGACATCAAACAGAGGCTAAGATAGGAGCCTCCTTGGCTGTAAAGGATAAGAGTGTTTAGTTCCTCTTTTAAAATGGAAGCATTTTTGCTCATAGTTCAGTTTTCAAGGTTTGCAAAAACAAAAACTACACACTAGTGTTTTTTTAAATTATTATTATTATTGTGGGTATTTATGTAGCACTTTACATACTGTACATTCACATCAGTCCCTGCCCTCAATGAGCTTAGGTTCCTATCTCACATGCATACTGACTTGGGCCAATTAACCTACCAGCATGTCTCTGGAGTGGGGGAAGAAAAGTATGTAAGCACAAGGAAAACATGTGAACTCCATGGAGATAGTGTTCTGACCAGGATTCCAAACCAAGGATTTCTAGTACACCAAGGCAGAAGTGTTGACCACTAAGCCACTGCGTTGCTCATTCATTTGGATGGGATGCAGTTTTGTATATGAAGTGTGCCTATTACCATATATATTCCACGTCACCATGTAAAATGCTGCCAGAAGATGAAATCTGATAAGGTAGTTGTGAGATTATTTATACAGCTGCTCTCCATGGTGTCAATAAAACTATTCGCTCCCAAATGTAAGGGTTCATGTTTTATTTTCATAGAATATTGAATTGCTGTGGATTTTCTTTTTCTTTTTTTTCTTTCATTAATCAACAAAAAAATACCTTGGTGTAAAAAAAAAACCCTACATAATTTAATCTTTCATGGCAGTAAAACTTTCAAGGGGGTAAATACTGTATATAACAGTTCAGATGATGGAGATGGTCTGTTCCTGCCTTATTCCAACAGCCCCACGTAACACTTCTGAGAATTGTGCAGTTGAGGAGTGCTGATAGAAGGTGCAATTGATGTTCAGTACATGCATCCTAATTTGTTGTGTGTAGAGGAAAGGAAGGTGTTAACAGCCTGTCTGTCCCTTCAGCCCATCAGTCACATTGCACAAATAACCCCAGCAGGTCTCTACTGATAAAAAAATATTTTTAACCACTTCCTGTCCGGACACTTTTACCCCCTTCCTGTCCAGGGCAATTTTCAGCTTTCGGCGCTATCACACTTTGAATGACAATTGCGCGGTCATGCAATACTGTACCCATATGAATTTTTTACCATTTTTTTGAGACAGATAAAGCTTTATTTTGGTGGTATTTATTCACCGCTGGGATTTTAATTTTTTTTACTATGTAAATGAAAATGTCCAAAAATTTTGAAAAAAAAAAGTGTTTTTTTTTAATACAATTTTGCAAATAAATAATATTTCATCATAAATCTTGGCCAAAATTTATTCCGTTATTTTTTTTAGTAAAAAAAAAAATCCAAATTAGTTTATAACCAAAAATTATAATTTTTAAACATTTTTTTTTACATTTTTATTTTATTTTTTTTTATATTATTATTTTTTATTTTTTTTTCCATACTGTCACCCTAGCAGTATAGTGTCACCATGGTGACACTGTACTACTTGTGGGGGGTGATGAAGATTTTTTTTTTTTTTTTTTTACACTGATTGCTTTTATACCCATATAGGATGTAAAAGCAATCATTTCTCTTTCTCTCTGTCTGCATTCTTGCAGTCATTGAGAAATACTGAGTGAGCTGTGATTGGTCACAGCTTGTCACATGGTACAAGGCTGTTGTGAATAGCCTTGTACCATGTGACCTCTGTGATCATTCACAGATTTCACACATAGTAAGCAATGATGTCACAAGTGACATCTTGCTTACTACTTTGCATGTGATCACTGATTCACCAATCAGTGATCACATGATCGGAACCTCGTACAGAGGTCCCGTCCGACGATCGGTGTTTCACTGTGTCCGGAGGACACAGCAGGCACCAGATCGCGGTGGTGCGCGCTCCCAGGGAGCGCGCACAGCTAGAAAAGGCGGGTGCCGTTTAGGAACGGCAACCCGCCCCTGGACTGCCACCGCCCTGCCGTTTATAAACAGCAGGCGGACAGCAAGAGGTTAATAATTTATGACTAGTCTAGACCAGTGGTTCTCAACCACCAGGCTGTGGCCTGTTGGCGGTCCGCGGCCTCCTTCCGCTTGGGCCTCCAGCCAGCTGCACAACCCCTAACTTAACATAGTTCCTTCCAGCTCCCACTGTGCCCCTAACATTCCATTATTGCCCACAGTGCCCCACAACCCCTCAGTGCCCTCCAGGCCCCTTGAGAGCCCTTACTTCCCACAGTGCCTCCCAACCTCCCACAGTGCCACCCATCCTCCTTCAGTGTCCTAGCATGCGGCTGAGCCTCAGCTCCCAAGAATGCCACTAATCTAAAGTGCCACTGCAAGACCCCAACCTCCTCCAGAGACAGATTACTTCACAGTTGCCCCCAGTTCCCTCCAGATATATACATTTGAATACAGTTTGCATTCCCATACTTTTAATCTGTGTGTATAAACATTTCTTTTACTATCGGGACATGGAAGGTTTTGTAACAATATACCAGGCTTGTTCTGCACTTTGTTTTACCATAGTAAGGAGTACCTCAGACTCTGTAGGAGAATTGCTAATAGTAGAGAACAAAAGAAAAGAGCGCACCAACCTTGCGCATTACCTCAGTAAACAGTTCATGAATTTATTGATAAATTATACTCACAAGAGTAGCAGTAAAAAAAACATATAACATCCAAAACCAACACAGGGTTAAAAGACACATGTGAGTTCCATCCAGAAAGGAGATAAACTCTTGGTCAAGCTGACTCGTTTCGAAGGGGAGGTCCCTTCTTCCTCACAGCTAGTCACAAAGAGATAAGCCACCCCTCAGTATAATGTTGCTTTATTGTAGGGCCTACCCTACGTGGGGGACAGCCTCGTTTTGGGGGGGAGGTGTTTTTTGGCCTAAATGTGTCACAACAGTTAGTAATATTAATAATAATAAATAATACTATAATTATCATACAAAGCATAGATAAAAAACATAATATGATCACAATGGAAAAGGATAAAGCAGAAAGATGATGCTAATATCAACGTAAAATGACATTATAATTAAATTAAATTAAAATGAATGGAGAATTGCTAATGTTTTAAACTATTTTGTCATATTGTTTAGGGGCCTGATTATCTGCCTCCTTTCTGTTGCAATAGAGGTGGCCTTCCTCCTAACTTCTTCTTACCATTATGTGATAATTTGTCTCTTACTTATTAATGATATTGGCCTGACTACCCAACATCCTGGTGACACTAATGTGGAACCTTGTCCCATCTGCTGACCCTGTGTTGCTGAACCCTGAAAAGCATGGTTATATGATTATACTGCTTATATAATAAATAATTGTTTTTTTATGGTGTCTTTTAGGTGAAACAAATGCCATCTATTAGTTGGGAGGGCATGGACCCTAACGTTTTGTATACTTTTATTTGTACTGATCCTGATGTACCTTGCAGAGAAGACCCCAGCATTGGGTGAGAAAAATATGCTCATACAGACAAAATGCTACTTCAGATCCGCCAGTCTCATAGTAAAATGTCTCTTAAAATGTTTGTCAGTGTTATTAAAGAAAATGGCACTCATTATTGATGTAAGGAGGGAATGTAGTCAACGGGGTGGCCACTCTTTCATTCTCACAGCCTGGCTTAAGAAACAAAAGGGTTTATTTACTAAAGCTGGAGAGTGCAAAATCAGGCTCATGTCTACATAGAAACCAATCAGATTCCAGGTTTTATTGCCAAAGCTTAATTGAACAAGCTGAGGTTAGAAGCTGATTAGTTTCTATGCAGAAGTGAACCTGATTTTGCACTCTCCAGCTTTAGTAAATAAAACCCTATTATAAGGTCATCATGAAGCTTTTCTAACCACCTTCAGCTCACGGTAATAGTCTGACTTTACTGGCATTGTGACTTTCTTTAACAGAGAAAAGATGCTCAATCAGGGTGGAAAGTACCTAGACTATCTTCCTATAGAATCAGACCTAAAACAGGCCTAAAACTGTTAATTTAAAGGTATGTTACATATTACACACATATTCACGGTGTAACATGTTGCAACTGAACCAGAACCTTCCCCCCCCCCCCCCGATACCCCGTTGTGACAGTTAGCGGGGGATCTTCTCTTCTCCCCCCCCACTAGATGTCACAATCTAAAATAAAGCGCAGCTGTGCGGGGCTCCGCTCCCCCGGCCGTGTCATCTATTCACAGTGCAGGGGCGTCCCTAGGGTTGGTGTCACCCGGTGCAATAACACTTGGTGACACCCCCTCTGACGATCCCTACAGAATGGATCGGATCTGCGGATTGAGCATAATGGATTGGACTCCGATCCATTATGCTCCCCAATCCTCGGATCCGATCCATCCTGCGGGGATCGTCGGCATTCAACCTATACGGAAAGCCGACGAACTCCGCAGGATGTATCGGATCCATCCTGCGGGGATCGTCGGCTTACTTTATAACTTACCTTTTGGTGGAGCGGGTCCGGAGTCAACCCGTGCAGTAGGTGTCACCCCCCATGCAGGCTGCACCCCCTGCACCTGCCTTGGGATGCCACTGTCAGTGTTCTGTGAATGGAAAAACTACATATCCTTGAAGTTCTCAATTAACCGTTTCAATACCGTGTGATTTTACACCTTCCTGCCCAGGCCATTTTTCAGGTTTCAGCGCTCTCACACTTTGAATGACAATTGCGCGGTCATACAACATGTACCCAAACTAAAATTTTATCATTTTCTTCACACAACTAGAGCTTTCTTTTGGTGGTATTTAATCACCGCTGGGGTTTTTATTTTTTGCTAAATTAACAAAAAAAGACCAAAAAATTTGAAAAAAAACACATTTTTCTTTGTTTCTGTTATAAAAGTTTACAAATAAATAATTGTTCTTCATAAATTTAGGCCGAGATGTATTCTGCTACATGTCTTTGGTGAAAATAACCCAAATTAGGATGTATTTTTTAGTTTGTAGGAAAGTTATAGAGTTCACAAACTATGGTATAGATCTGAATATTGATCAATCCTGAAGTACTGACAGCCAATCTAATTTCTTGAGGTCCAAGAATGTCAGAATAGTACAGTTATCCCCAAATGACCCCTTTTTGCAGAGTAGACAGTCCGACGTACTTCATAAGAGGCATGGCGAGTTTTTTGAAGTTGTATTTTTTTGTCATAATTTTTCGGAAAATGAAAAAATTAAAAAAATTATTTTCACTATTTTTTTTTTACATACTGTCACCAGTGCAGTACAGCATCTTCAGAAAACTGGCATGGCGGTGAACAGGGACACTGACTGGTGACAGTATGAAAAAAAAAATATATATATATATATATTTTTTTTTTATTATATTTAATTTTTTATTACATTTTTTTTAATTTTTTTTAAGATTTTTTTTTCATATTTTACTATGACCAAAGTAGTACAATGTTACCATAGTAACATTGTACTACTTTGGGGAAGTGATCAGTATTTTTTTTTTTTTTTTTTTTTACACAGTTTGCTTATAGCAAAGAATTACTTTGCTATAAGCAAGCATTTAGCTGAATGAAATCGATTCATTCAGCTTTTTTTTTTTTTTTTTTTGTGCTTAGCTGTGATTTGGTCACAGCTAATCACATGACATGTGCATGTGATTAGCTGTGACCATTCACAGCTATGCACTAGTATACAATGGATGGCATCATGAATGAAGCCATCCATTGTATACAACTATCATGTGACCTGCTGTGATTGGTCACAGCAGGTCACATGGTACCAGCTACGGGAGCCGGTACTCGGATCTGTCATCGGCTGTGTCCGAGGTGCACGGCTGGTGACAGATCGCGCTGCTGCGCCGCTCTGCATTACTGCAAACTGCGCATGTGCGGGAGCACGCCAAATGGCGTGCACCCGGAATACAGGAGCGCATTTGAAGCCGCCAAACGGCCATTGGCCGGGCGGCTAATGGTTAACTACCAGGGCACTATTGAGGACTGTGGTTGTTCATTTTTTCTGTGTATCTGCCTGCTCATACGAGATGCGAGCACACAGAAACACTGAGAAGCCTGCAGGAGTCCTGCATGGCACCCACGATCAGCAGCTTTACAAGCGCCAAATAAAATAATTATAAATTCACTTTTTTTTTCCTGCAAAAAGATGTGCATTTATTTATTTTTTTAAAGTAAACATCCTTTAAACCCAAAACCAAAAATGTGATCAATTGCACCCTATTAGTATTTAACTGTATTGGCTGCATTAGGTTTTTTTTTTTCACATGATGATCTGGCCGGAAATACACTTCCACTCTTAGGCTGTCTCCACTCTACTGAAGGAGCAATGGAGATACCTTTGGACAGCAGCATTGTCAATCCAGGGAGAGGGTAGTGTTAGGGTTCATGTACACTGCAGATGATAAACTGACGTTCAGGAGCTGTTCAGCGGTTTTTTTTTTTTCAGCAGCCCCTGAACTCTCCCTAATGTTTTCCTACGTGTCCATGTACACATCCTCGTTTACAGTCGTTTACAGGCAGTTGAGTTTACAGTAATTTTTATGAACGCAACAAACTTGCCTTCAGACGTCGATTTTATCGCGTTTATAAGCGTTTGCGGTTGAATTTTTTTTTTTAACTCTTCCAGTTCCCAATGCTGTTCAGAGCCTTTTTTCATCATGAAAAATGCATGCAAAGAGTTTTCAAGGTACTCAAATGGACAAAATACTTAACACAGGATGTTCCTACCAAGCCTGCCACACATTGTAATGACCAATTCACACCTCAGAACTCTCCCACCCTTGGAAACAAAAGATATGTTAACCTCCCTGGCGGCATTCCAGAGTGTAGCTCGGGGTAAAGTTTCAGCACCACAAGTGGTAACCCCGAGCTACACTCGGGAATACCTTGCAGCGTTGCTCCGGGATCTCTTCTTCACTTACCTTGTCCTGAGCTCCCGCGATGTCCCTCCTGCAGTGTCCCCGGCAATGTAATCTGGCGGATGCCGGCATCTGTTTTCTGGTTTCCGTTCCCTGCAACGTCGGGACGTACGGGGACGGAACGGCAGGAAATTTAAAAATGTGAAAAAAAGACATTCACTAAATACACTAAAATCACATAGTAAAACATTACTGTATCAGACCACTTCAAATACATTTTGTCCCGAGTGTTTTGTCCTGTGTCCTGCCTGCATTTTTACCGTTCTTTCTGCCTGGAAACTGAGAAACATCCATGGTGTCCAAAAAGCGTCCCTTTAGGTCAAAATCGGTTTTAGACCAGCTAGAGAACAGCGATAGTAAATTAGAACCACTTGCAGAATTGAGTGATAATGATTTGTGGGGAAATTCATCATCAGACACTGAAAACGATTTTGCGACTTTGCTCAGTGATGTGCGAACTTGGTGCTATATTTCAAATTTCAGTGTTTTTGGTTTGATTATATTATTGAATTAAATTTATTATTATATTATTATTATTTATGATTATTTATTAAATTATAATTTACGATTTGGTGTTTCAAATTTTAACATACCCGGGATGTTTACTAGACTCTTGTTCAGACAGATTTCAGTGAGTTATTCCTAAAAATTACAGGCCTACAATAAAAAAAATACATATTTCCATGCAAAAAAATTTACCGCTTTGAGCACAGAAATATGGACATAATCAGACCACTAGGGAGGCTACTGACCATTCACACCTCAAATTCCTTATGAAGACCCCCTGCCAGGTGACCTTAATGACTCACTCCAGCAGCCACATTTCCCACCCTTGGAAACAAAAGAAATGAGCAACTCAAGCCTAATTATCTCAACACATACTGCTGTGTCTGCTTCTACTGTGTGTATTTCTCTGAAAAAGTCTGAAATAGTTAATAATTTACCACTTTTCAGTGCATTCTGGGCATTTGGGAGGTTCTCCTGTGCTTATCTTTAAAAAATGCTTTTAAATGCAAACGCGCATAAACGTGTTATGCAAACGCGGCTAAATAGATGTTTTTTAACCTACTTTTTCCAGCAGTTAGTTTCCATCGTTCAGAAACGTCCCGTGTACATGGGGCCTTAGATGCACTATAGATGCACGATTTAGATAAAATTGACCAACAAATGAAAGCCAAGCTCCAGCTAAGTGTTCATGCACTTTTATTTTTTTTTCTTTCAGCCACCAGGCTGAACAAAAAAAAACATGCTGATTTCCCCCCAGCTAGAACATTGTATTCTGACAGTTGTGCCAACCGCTGTCAGAATACACTGATCAGCGGTTACAGCTGAATGAGAAAACATTTTCGGTGTGCCCTTTCTGATTGTCAGTTTTTGTTTATTTATGTAAGGCCCGGTTCACACTAGTGCAGGCTGTGTGGCCCGCGTTTGTGAGGCCATGGGAGCCCATTCATTTGAATGGGCTGCTGTACCTGCGTTTCATACAGGAAAAGGTGCGTGCATGCACCTTTTACAAAACGCATCCGCAGGGAAGCTGCATGCTCTTTTTAACCATGCAGTTTCTGTGCGGTTCCCGAACCCTTCACACTTCTCTCTCAAACATACTGTCTGTATTCACACCCAAAGCATTTCTCACTACACATACTCTTAGGCTCCATGTACATGGAACACTTCTGAACGATGAAAACTGACTGCTGGAAAACATTAAAAAAGTCTGTTTAGCCGCATTTGCATACCGTGTTTATGCGCGTTTATGAGCGTTTGCGTTTAGAAGCTTTTTTTTTAGGATAACTTCAGGAGACCTTCCAAAATGCCCAGAAAGCACTGATAAAAACCACTAAAAAATTAACTATTTCAGACATTTTGAGAGAAATAAGAGACAGAAGCAGAGAGAGCAGTATTTGTTGAGATTACCTGTCTTTTTTTTTTTGTAGTGTTTGGATGTGTTCCAGCTCATTTCTGTGCAGAAATTATTGCAGCAGTGTCTAACATATTTTCTTTCATGCAAAACCTCAAAGTATGATGTACCAGGTCCACTTGAGTACCGGGAAAAAAACGCTTTGCATGCATTTTTCATGATGAAAAAAGGCTCTGGACAGCATTGGGAAATGGAAATGTTAAAAAAAATTCAAACAAACGCTTATAAATGCAGTTAGCCACGTTTACAAGCATTTCGCATTTGAAACGCTGATAAAATCTACTGCTGAACGCATGTTTTCTGCGTTCAAAAAAACCGACTGTAAACTCAACTGCCTGAAAACAACTGTAAATGACGATGTGTACATGGACACATAGGAAAACATTAGGGGGAGTTCAGGGGCTGCTGAAAAAAAAAGCTGAACTCCTAAACGTGAGTTTATCAGCTGCAGTGTACAAGAGCCTTTACATACTTAGTAACAGCTATCTAAGAAGAGATTTACTTCACTTTGGAGAGATTTGCTCTTACTTCCTGATGTGTCTATTGTACAGGAAGTGAAGGGACATCTCTTGAATGGGTCACAGATGATAAAAAACAATGCCATTTGGGCATACCGGAAGAGAATGAGAGCTGCTGCAGGTATGTGCCTGCACTTTATACCTAGTAGCAACTCTTGTTTAAGTGATAGTCTTTTCAGGGCTGGTATGTAGCACACAGTGTTGATTTCATTATTCACAGTCATCAAACTGCACAGAAACATAACACATTTTTTTAAGATATACACAACTTTCTTTCAAACTTATTGAATTTACGTTTTTTTTTTTCTTACAAGGGAATGGCATCACTGTATAGTGGTAAACATGAAAGGAAATGACCTCAGCAGCGGGTGTACACTTACTAAGTATGTCGGCTCCGCACCTGGAAAAGATACAGGTTAGTTTCATCTCATACATGTTGAATTAAAAATGTCAATAAGAGCCGTGCTTATTCTGGATATCCCCGGCACTGTTTTCCCTAAAATGCTGAGATTCCCATTACCTGTTAGGGCTCGTTCACACTTGACTTATGTCTAACTCTTACCAAAGGCCCCTATAGTATTTGACAGGCGTTTGGGAAGTTAATGCTCCTTAAACGCTCCCCAGACACTCGCCAAACGCCCCTTGCACGGTTTTGAGGCGTTTGATAGGCATTTGCCAAGCGTTAAAACTGCACCACAAATGCCTATAATGAAGTTAAATGGTATTAACACACCGCACACACACCTTGTAACCGCCTCGCAAACACCCTGCAAACGCCTGCCAGGCATTTGAGGAGCGGCACCATAGACTTGAATGGGAGACTTCAACTCCTCCTGACTCAACATGAGGCGTCAGTTTTGCCGCGACGCGACTGTAACGCTTCAGTGTGATCAGCACGCGTGCTGCCATATGCAGAATTTTCATAGGCATTTGAGAAGCATTAAAAAACGCTTCCCAAACACCTGTCTGATGCCTGCTGACCAAGCTAGTGTGAACGTAGCCTTAATGTAACTGTGGGTATAGGATTATAACTTTTTTTTTTCTATGGTTGAACTGGATGAACTTTTGTCTTTTTTCAGCCAGACTAACTATGTAACTATGTAACGTGTCTCTGAGCCCTTTGCAGCAATAGGAATAGGCAGGAGAAATATAACCCCAAATGTAAACCCAACAGGTATGACCTTTCATGTCCTACTGTAGTAGAGAACAAAAACAGAGCGCACCAACCTTGCACATTACCTCAGTGTCACTCTGAGAGTCTCGCCTTCTGATAGGATTCGCACGTGTCTCCTTATCGTAGGATTCGATTTTGGATTATATATGCCTGTTATATTGCTACTTTTGTGAGCATATCTCCTAAATCCACTAAATGTTTACTGAGGTAATGTGCAAGGTTGGTGCGCTCTGTTTTTGTTCTCTACTACAGTTTGTATCGAGCTTCCCCAGCTTCGTGTTGGAGCTGCACAACCTTTGATCGGTCTTGGACGAACTTCCATATACTCTAGTATTATAGGTCCATCAGCCCTCTACTGATCTGGGTCCCTGAATGCAGGAGGTGTTGCATCTGTCTCTACTTTCATATCCTATTCCAATCCATTATAATACCTTACATAGAACATGGAACAATTAAAGTCCGTACACTTTTAAAAAGACATTAGGAGATCTACATATAAAACATTTGTTGGACGAATGTCACAACCATTCATGCAGACTGCTTGAATTTTGGCTGTTATTTCTAGTGGCTAAATGGTTAGTACTTCCACCTGGTAGTACTAGGGTCGTTGGTTCAAATCCCAACCACGGCACCACCTGCCTGGACCTTGCATGTTTTCCCTGTGCCTGCATAGGTTTCCTCTGGGTACTCTGGTTTCCTCCCACCCTCCAAAGACATGCTGGTAGGTTAATTGGATTCCGTCTAAATTGTTCCTAGTATGTGGATGTATGAATGTAAGTTAGGTACCTTAGATTTTACACCCCTTGAGGGTTAGAGACTGATGTGAATGTACAATATATATGTAAAGCGCTGCGTAAATTGACAGCACTATACAGGTGAAACTCGAAAAATTAGAATATCGTGCAAAAGTTCATTTATTTCAGTAATGCAACTTAAAATATGAAACTAATATATGAGATAGACTCATTACATGCAAAGTAAGATAGTTCAAGCTGTGATTTGTCATAATTGTGATGATTATGGCTTACAGCTCATGAAAACCCCAAATCCACAATCTCAGAAAATTAGAATATTGTGAAAAGGTGCAATATTCTAGGCTCAAATTGTCCCACTCTAATCAGCTAATTAAGCCATAACACCTGCAAAGGGTTCCTGAGCCTTTAAATGGTCTCTCGATCTGGTTCAGTAGGAATCACAATCATGGGAAAGACTGCTGACCTGACAGTTGTGCAGAAAACCATCATTGATATCTCAAAAGGTAATTGCAAAAGAAGTTGGATGTTCCCAAAGTTCTGTATCAAAGCAGATTAGTAGAAAGTTAGGTGGAAGGGAAAAGTGTGGAAGAAAAAGTTGCACAAGCAACAGGGATGACCGCAGCCTGGAGAGGATTGTCAGGAAAAGGCCATTCAAAAGTGTTGGGGACTTTCACAAGGAGTGGACTGAGGCTGGAGTCAGTGCATCAAGAGCAACCACACACAGACAGATCCTGGACATAGGCTTCAAATCTCGTATTCCTCTTGTCAAGCCGCTCCTGAACAACAAACAACGTCAGAAGCGTCTTACCTGGGCTAAACAAAAACAGACCTGGTCTGTTGCTCAGTGGTCCAGAGTCCTTTTTTCTGATGAGAGCAACTTTTGCATCTCATTTGGAAACCAAGGACCCAGAGTATGGAGGAAGAATGGAGAGGCACACACTGCAAGATGCTTGAAGTCCAGTGTAAAGTTTCCACAGTCTGTGTTGATTTGGAGAGCCATGTCATCTGCTGGTGTTGGTCCACTGTGCTTCATTAAGTCCAGGGTCAACGCAGCTGTCTACCGGGAGATTTTGGAGCACTACATGCTTCCTTCCGCAGACTAGCTTTATGTGGATGCTGACTTCATTTTCCAGCAGGACTTGGCACCTGCCCACACTGCCAAAAGCACCAAAACCTGGTTCAATGACCGTGGGATTACTGTGCTTGACTGGCCAGCAAACTCGCCTGACCTGAACCCCATAGAGAATCTATGGGGCATTGACAAGAGAAAAATGACATACATGAGACCGAACAATGCAGAAGAGCTGAAGGCCGCTATTGAAGCATCCTGGTCTTCCATAACACCTCAGCAATGCCACAGGCTGATAGGTTCCATGCCACGCCGCATTGAGGCAGTAATTGCTGCAAAAGGGGCCCAAACCAAGTACCGAGTACATATGTATGCTTATACTTTTCAGAGGTCCGATATTGTTCTATGTACAATCCTTGTTTTATTGATTGCATGAAATATTCTAATTTTCTGAGACTGTGGATTTGGGGTTTTCATGAGCTGTAAGCCATAATCATCACAATTAAGACAAATCACGGCTTGAACTATCTTGCTTTGCATGTAATGAGTCTATCTCATATATTAGTTTTACCTTTTAAGTTGCATTACTGAAATAAATGAACTTTTGCATGATATTCTAATTTTTCGAGTTTCACCTGTAAGTACCTGAAATAAATAAAAATACATTTCTGTAATAGATTAATTCTTATGATCATCAGCTCCATCTAGTGGCCAAAATGTGGAATATTTTCTCATTGAGGTATTTCATAAAACTTTCCCGATTTTTGGCCACTAGATAGAGCTGAGGCTCATAGAAATGAATTAATTTCAGAAATTATGGCCAAAATCCATGTATTATTATTATTATTATTATACAGGATTTATATAGCACCAACAGTTTGCTCAGCACTTTACAATATAACAGGAGACAATACAGCAACAATACAGTTCAATACAAGAGGGTTAGGAGGGCCCTGCTCCTTGGAGCTTACAATCTAAGAGTAGCTTGCACAGTTGTGTGTGACATGCGTCCAAAGGTTGTTTTATAGATAGATATTCTCTTATATATCTTTTATAAAAATACACTCTGTTGCAGGGGCGGACTGACCATTTGGAAACTCGGGCACTGCCCGAGGGCCCGGGGTCGGTAGGGGGCCCCATGAGATGCCCCTGGTACCTTTTTCATAGGCTTTTTTGAGTTTGGGCAAGGACACAGGGGCCCCATGATCCCCTATTGCCCGGGGGCCCCATGAGTTGTCAGTCCACCCCTGCTCTGTTGTTTCTGGTCTTGGAAAAGGTTCACATAGGCGCTGCTATCACCTCTTTACACCATTTGACTAGACCAGGGGTGTCCAACCCTGAAGAAAAGTTTGACTGTGTCTCTTTACTGGACTTTTTAAAGTTTTATCTTCCCAAAGAAGTATATCCTACACTTCACAATCACTGCTTATTCATGCCATCCATTTCCGGCAGCAAAGTTGAAGAACACGAATGGCAGAATTAGGACCAAAATATCTGAGAATCTTGAGAACTTATTGAGAATTGTTACTACATCCATTAAACCAGATATTGATGCGTTCATTTATCAAAAACGATGTCAAACATCGCACTAGTTTTATGTTGCCCTCTTTTACGTTTATAACAAAAAATATTACAAAAAAATGAAATTGTATTATACTGATCCGTACGTTATCTATACCAGTGATCCGACTTTTTCTGTTCATCAGCTATATATCATTATTGTTGGTGTATTTTATGTGTGACCCATGACAATTCCTCTTCTTCCAATGTGGCGCAGGAAAGTCAAAATTTTGTAGTATATAATATACATCTGATATTTTTGCTTAAGGCACATTTTACTGCAAACCTCTAATGGAATACCTGTAGAGAGGTTAACTCTTTCTTTTACTGCATTTACTGTGGTAATGTGCATCCAGCATATTTCCCAAATGTGGAACTTTCATTTTTTAGGAAATATGTAGAATACACATGCATGGGTAACTGCTGATGTATAGGCACAATGGCATTTACAAGAGCACAGCCCTATACAGCCATTCACTTATACATGGCACCTGCAGCTCCCCATTTGATGGGAAACTATGCTATAGAATCCCTGTGTGTTTGAACCCTCAATGTATTTTTTTGTAATGCAAGCAGTGTAATTAACTGTAAGTGTAATTCAACTTGGTATCAGACTCTTGCAGTCCCTGTGCAGCAAAGCTTAAAGCGGAGTTCCACTTAAAAGTGCAAGCTCCACTTGTTTGCCTCCTTTCCCCCTCCACTGCCATATTTGGCACCTCTTGGACGGGAGTGGATACCTGTTTTTGACAGGTACCCGCTCCCACTTCTGGCTCAGTTCAGCGCGGCAAAGTGAGCCGGAACTCCGCCCCCCCCCCCCCCCTTCCTCTCGCAGTCTCCTGGGAACCTGTACAGGGCAT